TTTTGGTGGAACCAGGTGTTGAACTCAGGCCCTTGTTCTTGCCAGAGAAGCGCTTATTCTACTGAATCATCTCCCTGGCCCGAGATTCCCAATATTGTTACATAATATTGAAAACAACTGATCACTACAGATATGACATCCCAGTTACAGTAGTATAACTAACCATAAGCATAGTTTAGAAACTGACAAACTCTCTGAACTGTTGATTTTGTACTTAAGCCCATAGGAGCACAGTTTACAGTTATATGACAGAACGGATTATAATTTGAGAGTTGAGAGCAAAGTACTTCCCCTTGGTGGAGTGGATTTATCCTGGATTCCTCTGGCTGAGCACATTGCTGTTTCCTGGGTGCTTCCCAGGCTTAGCTGCCTTACCGCAGTGTAGGAGTACGGGCCAGACCCCAGGCTTCCTCCAGAGCAGGCTCCCTGCATGCAGAAGGGCAGTGGGTGGGGTTTCCCTCTTCCTGAGCGGCTCCCCAAGCCTCCAGAGGCTGACTGTGACTCCCTGGTAATATGTTTTCTGATAATACATAAATTATAGTTTTTTCTTCTTTCCTATATATCTTGCCTTCATTTTAAGCCTTTAATTATATGAAATGTTATTTACTTTAGGATCTGCTCCTTCTTTTTCATTTTTTTCCTGTTTATTTGGGGGAAAAAACCACTTTGCCCTTACAAAGAAAATCAGAAATCTAAGAATACAGAAACAGCCCCCAGCTATTTACTGTGTAGTTTTATGTTAAGTAATTCTTTTAAGCTTTATGGCTAGAAGGGACTCTGCAGAGCTCACAGTTCAACCTTTTTATTCTCTCCACGTATATTGCATTCAAAAATGAAACACTAAGTTGCAGAGGATAAAGAACTGGTCTGAAGTCACAAAGCAAGTTAACCACCGAGCCTCTAGAACTCCAGAAATCTAACAAGGTGTTAACTGTATACAAGCTGATCCTGATTTCTTTCCTTTGCAGTTTCCTACCCATAAAATGGTTCTAACTTTCAGTCCTTTAGTAGAAAGCATGTGAAATAGAATACCATGAAATCTCTCTGCAGAAGAAACCATCAAGGAGGCCGGGGGGATAGCTCAGTAGAATAAGTGCTTGCCTGGCAAGCATAAGGGCCTGAATTCTATCCCCAGTTCCATTTAAAAAAAAGAAAAGAAAGAAAGAAAGAAAAGAAAAAAAAATGATCATCATTCAATATATATCCCATCACTGACAATGGTAAGAGCAAAGTCCAAAGTCCAGCATGTGTACCTTGAACACCAAATGCTGGAATATTCATTATATTTAGCTACATCACCAAATTTATTCATCTAAATTACTTAACACAAAGCAAATTCTATAAGAGTTGTTATTCCAATTATAGCAACTTCAGTGTACCAAAGTCTGAACTCAAGTTCTTCCTCCACAGTTCCCAATTCTTCACTATAAACCTATCAAGCAGGTCAGAAGCTGGGCAGTTACACTGTCCCCTCCTTATCCTTCACACTTTTATCCTGCCCATGACAAGATTTTATCATTTCACCTCCCCATTGTCTCCCATGGCCAATCACTTCTGGCCTCCCTCAGCCCTTCCTCCTAGAACCTCAGGTCCATCCTGTCCTGCACGGCTCCTGCAGAACCTCTAGACACCCCCTCCCAAGACATGGTCTTGGAGAGATGCAAATATGATGGCTGGGTACTGCTGCCCACTGGTTCAGTGTATTTCCTTGCTATAAACATAAAAGGAAAATACTTTGCATGGTCCCATGGCCTGCTGTGGGCATCATCCCCACCCACCCTTGCCGACCCCTAGCTCCATCCCCACTGGGCTCTCTGGTCCACCCCAATGTGTGTGTGTGCTGCCCTTCTGCCTGTGGCACACACCATTCCTCGTCCTTTTCCTCTCAGGGGCTTTTACTCAGGCTTCAGAGTTTTGCATGGTCTTTATTTCTTTCCTTTGGGAAGCCTGCTCAGTTCATCCTGCCATGGAGAAAATCACTACTGCATGCTGTTAGAGCTCTTCCTTCTTTCCTTCCCAGTGGGCTGTCTTTGTTGATTTCCCACTTAGTGGTGCGCTGATTTGATTAATGTCTTATTTCCATTTGACTGCAGGCTCCAGCTTTTGCTCCTAGCATAGGAGAGACACTCGGTAACCTTTTGTTGAGTGAAGAAATCAATAAACTTGTATTTAATATCCCACAAGTGCTCCATGTATATTAGGGAGCCAGCCTACGTTTTCTTCTGTTGGCACTTTTCATTTGGGAAGAGGGCTGGCCTCCATTACAAACCAGTCATTCATCTGTTAGCTCTGAAGGACAATTACAGAGTTGTAAGGGGTGCTAGCCCCACAACATATATTTCAGATGCCACTGGACACACAGCGACACTTGGCCATCTCGGCACCTACATTGTCAGCTTTCTCTGTGACTCTGACAGCAGCTCAGACAAGGCCACTGGACCTCTTCACTTGGCCTATCCATTCCCACCACCTTCCTCCTGCAAGAGTCTCACCCAAGAAGACATCCTTCAGCTGCAAGGATCTGACCCAGGAAGACAAGTGTGTCATGGTGCAACCACCCGACACACACGCAGCCCTCCCTCCCGACCCCTGTGTCCTGAATCCCATTGCCCTTATTCTTCTTGGGACTCACTGGGTCAATTCACTTGTCATTCTTTTCTATTTTCCACTGTGGTTTCACTTGCTCTACCCCTGGAAAATATGTTAGAAATGAACATATTACAAGCAAAACCTAGCAGTTAAACATATCATAAATAAAACCAGAAATGTTTCTTCCTACAGTGTAAGAAAATTAGATGTGCTGTGTTCTAAATAACAAGTCTGAACTGTTTTTTTATGACCAAGTAGATATAGCAGCTTTATTTACATACATGCAAAATGACATAGACATAAGACTGTGGCATTATTATTATCACTATCATTATCATTATTTGTATTTTTATTTAGGACAGGGTCTACAGGGTCTGACTACACAGATCGGACTCGGAGAGATTCTCCTGTTTTCAGCCTCCCAAGCGCTGGGATTCCAGGCGCACAACACCACACCCAGCCTAAGACTGTGGCATTATTTTTAAGAGCACAGGTTAATCTAGTAACAGGAGGTTGGTTGAAGCATCACACACGGATGCACAGGAATACTTTTCAATGAAAATCAAAATAAGAAAGTTACATATCCATATAGAAAGATCTTCAAAACATTTTTGAATTATAAAAAGCAAGGTACACAATAATACATTATATATACACACACGTGTGTGTGTGTGTGTGTGTGTGTGTGTGTGTGTATCTGAATCTCACCCACGTGCTACATATCAGACTATAAGGCCATGAGGCCAGCTTCAGTGTTCCCTTTCCTCCTTTACAACCACCAAGACCAGTGTTCAGATCTGATGGGAAAGGGAACTAGAGGGCCATGCCTGAACTTTGTTAGCAGCACTTATGCCAGAAGAACAGGCATTATTTGCTCTTTTCGAACCCTCCAACTTCTCTTGCCCACATGATGCTCTCAGTCGCTGCCTTTAGCTCTGGTTTCACAGCTGTCAGAGTGAAGCACCCAGCTCCACCGCACAGTTGGCTGTTGGCCTCCGTGAGTGCCAGGACCTGTGTACCTCCTATATCCAGGAAAGAGTTGTGCAAAAGCTCCCTGCTTGGCCCTGCTCTAGGCTGTAAGGTTTTTATGAATCATCTGTATTTTTGTTTTTATTGAATTTTTTTCCCATAATCTGGTCAATATTTTATGTTTTCCATTTTAAAGCAAAACAGTAACATAGTTTTCACCGTCTTCCACCTTGACTGCCAGCTGCAGCCGTGAAGGTTGAGCTGTGCAGCTTCAGTGGGTACAAGATCTACCCGGGACACGGGAGGCGCTTCGCCAGGGCCCACAGAAGGGCTTCCAGTTTCTGAATGCAAAATGCGAGTCTGCATTCTTTTCCAAGAGAAATCCTCGGCAAATAAACTGGACTGTCCTGTACAGAAGAAGGCACAAAAAGGGACAGTCGGAAGAAATGCAAAAGAAAAGAACACTACAAGCAGCCAAATTCCAGAGGGCCATCACTGGCGCATCTCTTGCCGACATAACAAACCGAGAGGAATCAGAAACCAGAAGCTAGAAAGGCCCAAAGAGAACAAGCTATCAGGGCTGCCAAGGAAGCAAAAAAGGCTAAGCCAGCATCTAAGAACACTGCGATGACCGCTGCTGAGGCTCCCGTGAAGGCAGCACTTACGCAGAAGCCTGGGAAGCCTGGGGAAGTCTCATCTGTAATTTTAATTTGTGCTGGATTTTTACAGTGGAAATGTTGGGTCTATGTGGTAATAAGTGAACTATCAAATTAAGAATTTAAGACAGACAAATTAAGTTGATATCCGAGGAATGGAGTTGTGGCTCATTACGGTGTGCGTACTAAGTGTGCATGAGGCCGAGGACACTGCCTCTGCTCCCAGTGCCAAAACTAAAAATTCTGTTCCTCAGCATAGTGTTTCCTAAGATCAATCTTTTGGTTGATGAGATGCTAAAGGATGTAATAGACTTATACTTGGATGCTGGCTTTATTCTGTTTATATAGGATTCTGGTTACAAGTCTACAAAATATTAGCACAGATTTAGTTCAACTTGATTAAAAAATAAACTTTTCTGTCAAAAAAAAAAAAAAAAACCCCAACACAATAATGTACTCTCTTGACATTATTTTTCCCTCTATATAAATAACCTTTGTTGAAGCCACTTCTGGTCTCTGAATGACTAAAGTCGGTGCTCAATTTTCACTCATCCACACTCTTCTTCCATCCATAGAATTTGGATAGTGTGGATCGCTCCTTCCTTGAAGTCCTTCTCTTTTTTTAAAAGAAATATTTATTTGGTACAGGGTCTCACTATGACTCATAGTGATCCTCCTGTCTCAGCCTCCCCAGCACTGGGATTGCAGGTGTGTGCCACCAGGTCTGGTTTTGGTGACTAGCACGGCATGGCCAGGTTTCTGGGGCTGACATGGCATAGGGTACCAAGGGTCGAACATGGGTCCTTGTGCTTGCCAGGCAGGCACTTAGACTGCTGAGCTAGCTCCCCAACTCTGAAGTCCTTTCCTTATTTGCTTTCTAACACATTATTCTGTCACTTTTTCTCTTCTCTCCTTCTATTCTTAGGCTTTACTGTTGATCCCCAACCTCTCAAATTGGTGATGATGCGTAGCTCAATTCTCCTTGTTTTCATTACTATCTGCCCTTGCGCCCTAGTTAACCTCATCTAGCACCATAGCATGGGACAGCATTTGGGGGCTGATGACTTCCAATCTGAAGTCTGTGCCTCTGTGTTGACCTTTGGATTCATGTGTGCAAAGGCATATACTTAGGTATAGAATGGAAATATCAAGTAATACCTGCTGAAAACCAAACTCTTGTCTCCATTTTCACCTCTTTGAGACCTACATTTTCCAGTGCTCAATGTCTTAGTAAATAACCATTTTATTTTTCCAAGCCCCAAAACTTGGAGTTTCCCTTGCTTTCCACTTTGTCAAAACCTACATTTAATCCACCAATAAATCTTTTTAGCTGTACCTCCAAAGTACTTCTATAAGTTGATCCCTCTGAACACTGTCACCATTACTATCTCTCCTCTAGATTTAAAATGACCTCTTAAATAGTCTTTTGATGTTGCCTTTGCTCACTTTCAACCTTTAGTTTTCATAAAGCAGTTGACTTTTTGTGATTATAAATTTAAGGATAAAAGAATATATAATACAGCATTTGCCAATGAATGCAAAAACTTACACAGAATGCTGTTGTTGATTTTGGATGAAACTTTTAATCCATTTAGTATTTCCCAATGTTAAAACATTTTAGTTGCCAAAAATTCAGATGAGTTAGGATGATTTTGCTAAGGTGATGGTTTTTGACAATAATTGCTCCCGAAGTTTGAGCAATAGAGCAAAATTTTGTATCAGAATCATACAAACCCCGCTCCCCAATAGATGCATGCTCTGGGGACCACTTTAGAACTACTGAATTGACACTTGCTTACAATCTTTAAGATTTAAAAATAAAGTCTTATTTAAAAATACCAACTAAGCTTAACACCAAAAAGCTTACATCATGACCCAATGTCAGTAAGGCCTGCCCGTACTGTGGTGATAAGGAACTCATACCAGAGACATCACTTTAGGGTTTATGCTCTCTCAAATGTCCCCCAAGACTCTCAGTCAGCTTTTGCCTTGGTTTGAATTTTAAATGCACCCCAGTATCCATGTGTTCAAGGCTTGGTCACCAGCATACGGCACTGAGAAAGGGAGTGGGGCCTTTAAAAGGCAGGGCCTAGGAAAGAAAGTGATGTCATTGGGGGTGTGTCCTTGAGGGAGCTACTAGGTCCCCAGCCCTTCCGGCTTCTCTCTGGCTTCCCAGGCTGCAATGGGCCAATGGCTTCACTCCACTTGTTACATTGTGTTGCCTCCCTGTATGCTTCAAAGAAGCAGCGTGAGCCAGCCACAGACTGACCCCTCAAAACTGTGAAGTAATTGAAATCTCTCATCCCTTCAATTCATTTTGTCAGATATTGTGTCACAGTGGCAGGAAGCCAACAAACGCAGCTTTGCATGGGGACATAGCATCAATCTTCCTGGTGCTCTCTGTACTTGCCTGCTCTATGACTGCTCCTTCCTACTTCTTTGGTCTCCTGCCAATTTTCCTGTCCTCCGTTCCCGCTCCTGTCCTCCATAAACGCTGGCCTCTTTGCTTGTTAGTGTGAATCCTGGCACATCCTTTGTCCTCACTGATTCCCGTTAACTCTTTCTTCAGATAACTTCATGGCATTTACATCTTAGTCTTCTGTTTGTTCAATTTCACTCTTTCAGTGAAGGTTTTGATGGTCCGTATGTATGAAACACATCCCTCATTCTTCTCCTGGCTTCCTGTCTCCCCTTTTGCTGATTTATTTCGGTCACAGAATGGTATTTTTTAATCTCCTTTTCTCTAAGAAGAGTCACTTATAAAAAGAGTCCATTTTATTTTCCAGCTGGGCTGAATTGGCTGATTCACCAATTCTTGCCACAGGCTTTCCTCTTAGTCATTTAGTCTCTGCACTTCCCAGGTGATGCCTCTACCCTGCTGGTATGCAATTTATGGCAGAGTTGAGGGGCTTTTTACTCGGCTTCTACTCATGACTCTTCTGGGTTACATTTGTTCCTGTTATTTCTGTTTAACATAAACTTACTAGTGGTAGAAGGCTATGGAAAATGTTCACCATCACTTTGAAAGCACCTGGATCAAGCAAAGGAGTCTGGAGATGGCAAGAAATCTTACCTAAAATAGCCAGTGAAAGACCAGAATCAGAGTAGAGGCAAGCTCAGCCTGGAGCCTTTGTGAAAACCAGCAACCAAGGTACAGCTGTGGACCATGAGTATGAGAAATGCTCAGAGTAGGGCAGTGAATGTGCACCAGAAATTAAAGAAGGCAATCAGTGCACTCATTACTCTAATGTATTAATTCTTGTGCACTGTCTACTTTTCGTGCTTTAGATGTTTCTTACTGGAAACAAATCTACAGCTAGAATATTTGTGGTTTTTATTTCTGTTATTATTGTTTAACTTAAATGTATTGGTGGAAAAGTAGAGGGCTAAAGCAGTAGCACAAAAAGCCTACTTGCTCATTAATTTTGGTACTTCTTTAATCCTTTAAAATTGCTTCATATAAAATCCTGGACTGGGAAATTTCCCCATCCAACTATACCCTGAAATTTGTCTCCTAAACATAATTTTGACTAGATCTTCACAGCGATGCCTTCTGCCCCTTTGCTTTCCCTCCTGGCTGCACTCAGCTGATGGATCTTGTAGCACCCCAGTTGTAGCTGCTTTTCTCTGAACCCCAATCACAACCATCTGCTTCTCCAGTTGCCTGCTAATAAAGCTGCTCGGGAGGGTCCCTGAAGCAACTGTCCCTCAGCTCTCCTACTGCAAATCAGTGCTTGCCCTACACTGGTATAACCACTGGCTTTTGCTGTGTGATTTGTCTCTTTCTCTTACTGCAACACCCTTTTCTCACAGTGACTCTTCCCAACCTTAACACTTCTCTCCAGGTTCCACTTGCTCTCTATTTGTGAAGAGGTCACCTTTTCTTTAACTTTACCAGTGGATAAAGATCATCCATTATTTGATTTTTTTTCCTAATTTTTGAAAATAATCAAAACCTACCTGACTGTAGCACTTGTGATGCAGTATATCAGGAACCAAGGGCAAAATCCTTCTTGCAATGTGTCTGGTTTGAGTGTCAGAATGTTTCCATCGACTTCCTTTAATTTCAACACTGTAGGTGGTAAAGGATGTGTTTCACTCCTAGGACTTCAGCAACTAGAATACAAACCAACACAAGTTATGGAGTATTATAATTCTAGAGAAGAATATTTTAATACTTTGTGGTAGATGATGGAAATGTTCACGTGTATCAAGCCATGTGCTGAAACTATACTACTTTACAATTACCATGTGATTTACAGTGCCCAGTGACTCTCAAGTGTGAGGCTTTCATGATCACCTTTCACCAATGAGGAGCCTGGATTCTGGAGATGTTAGAACATTTCCCAAAGACAGATGATAATTCACAAGGTAAGGCTCGAGCACAGCACACCAGACTACCCTACACTGCTTCTGATTTAGTCCTCTGTACTGTTAAAATGGGAATGCAGAGGTGCTTCTACTGAGTTTTGAAACAGTTTATTAAAGAGTTACATACGGAGAACTTAGGAGGGCTCTGAGTGGTCTGCGGGATGCAGGAGAACTGTGATCTGTGGGCCCACTGTGAGCAGGTGTGGAGCTTTCCTGATGCCATTTAAGAACTTTGGCAGACTTCGGCAGCCTGCAGGACTCTGGTAAGCTCTGACCTTTATTAGCCCCCAGTGTGCAGGTGTGGAGCTTCTGCTGGTGCCAGTTCAACCTTTTAAAAACCTAGGAGGACTCTAAGTGGCCAGCAGGATGGTGAGAGCTGTAATCTATGGGCCCAGCACATGAAGGATTAGAGCATTCCTGGAGCCATTTAAGATCTTTGGCAGACTCCAGGCAGCATGTAGAGCTCTGGAAAGCTCTGACCTTAGCCCCCAGCATACAGGCATGGAGCTTGTGCTGGTGCAGGTCCAACTTTTTAAAAACCTAGGGGGACTCTGAATAGCCTGCGAGATGCAGGAGGCTGCTATTTGTGGGCCCAGGGCTGGCAGGCACAGAGCTTTCCTGGAGCCACTGAAGAACTTTGGCAGACTCTAAGCAGACTGTGGAACTCTGGGCGATTACTGAAAGATTCAAAAACACCAAAACATAGGAGCAAATGGCAGTCTCAGTCCTATAGCCCACACAGAGCAGATCCCAGAGACAAAGACATACAAGAAATTGGAAATCACATGCCTGAAATCTCTGAAATGATAGGAACTGAAGTAAAGAAATAAGTCCATCAGGCTATAGAAGAAATAAGGCCAGAAATAGTCTCTGGGGTCAAAAAGGAAATGACAACAATAGTGAAAGATTTGTTCAGCGCACCTAAGGAGCACATATATAAAAATAATATGGAAGGATAAAAAATTAAATGAACAAACAGGAAAGAATTAGAATTCATGAAACAGACTTAAATAGATATCCAGGAAATTAAGAACTCCATTGAAATCTGGGAAAACCACTTGAATGAAACTGAACATAGACTTTCAGACATTGAAGACAGTGGTACTACTAATGAATGTGAAAGGAAAGATCTCTTAAAACTAACAAGGAACCAGGAAATAACAATTCAGCAGCTATAAGGTGGCACAAAGAAAAATAATATAAGAATAATAAGTGTCAATGAAGCAGCAGGAGACAGCAGAAATGACATTAAAAGACTCTTTGCAGAAGTACTAGCAGAAAATTTTCCAAACATGAGAAAAGAACCTGACATACAGTTAAACAAGGCATATAGAACTCCAAACAGCCATAATCATAATTACAATAAATCTACACCTACACATATAATAATCAAGACCTCAGGAATTTAGCGAAAGAATAGAATATAAAAAGCTGGTAGAAGAAACAGATTACCTACAACAGAAAGCCCATCAGAACCATGGCAGATTTCTCAGTACAAACCATCAACTCAAGAAGAGCTTGGAATGAAGTATTTCAGGTCCCGAAAGAAAATGACTTCCAAACCAGATTGACGTAACCTGGAAAACTATCAAATTCAGTGGTGAAATAAGATCCTTTCATAACAAAGAGCAACTGAACAAATTCATGACCACCAAACCAACTCTACAAAGTAGAGGATTGACAGATATTCTAGAAAGAGACAGAAGTGATCACAGCTTCAAGAACAACAGAAAAGAACCACCAAACAGCAAGTAATTAAAAAAGAGGGGAAAAGTACAGAACCAATAGCAGGATAATAGCATGTGAAAGATAAGCCAATATGTATCAGTTATAACCATCAATGTAAATAGCCTCAAGTCATCAATCAAAAGAAACAGACTAGCAGAGTGGATTAAGAAACAAAATCCAAAAATATGCTGCATACAAGAAACACATTTAACTCAAAAGGAAATTCACTGGCTGAAAGTCAAAAGATGGGAAACAATCATCCATGTCCCCAGGAAACCAGAAGAAAAGCAGGAATAGCTATACTGGTTGCTGAACATACAAACTTCAAATGAAAAATCATTCAAAGAGATAAAGAAGGTCACTATGTACTTGTTAAGGGGAAACTGCAAGAGGAAAAGATAACAATTTTAAATATATATACACCCAATGGAGGAGCACCCACCTACATAAGACAAATTTTAACAGACATGAAAAATCAAATAAGCAGTAATGCAATAGTAATGGGGGAATTTAACATGCCACTGTCATAAAAAGATAGATCAACTAGCAAAAAATCAGCAAAGAAATATCAGAATGAAACCAAACTTATGAAGTTGACTTGGTAGACCTTTACAGAGTGTTTCACCCAGAAACAACAAAATAAACATTCTTAGCTGCGCATGAGACATTCTCCAAAACATACAATATACTAGCACACAGAGCATTCTTAAGTAAATTCAAAGGAATTGAAATTGTCCCGTGTATACTATCTGACTACAGTGTAAAAAAAACCTGCAAAGCATTGACAAAAGAAACTACTAAAACACCATAAACACACACACACACACACACACACACACACACACACAAAATAAATAACAACCTCCTAAACAAAAAGTGGGTCACAGATGAAATTAAAAAAGAAATTGAAAAATATTTACAATCAAATCAAAATGCAGATACAACCTACTGAAACCTGTGGGATGCAATGAAAGGTATCTTAAGAGGAAAATTTATAGCAGTAAATTCACACATTAGGAAAACAGAACAAGCTCAGATAAACAACCTTATTCTGCACTACAAGCTCCTGGAAAAAGAAGAGCAAGTTAAGCCTAAGGCCCACAGAAGGGAGGAAATTATAAAGATTAGAGTAGAAATTATTGTAATAGAAATGAAGAAAATAATACAAGGAATTAATGAACCAAAGAGTTGGTTCTTTGAAATAATAAATAAAATTGAAAAACCCTAGCCAACTTCATTTTAAAAAGGAAAGAAAAAAGCCAAATTTATGCAATAAAGAATGAAAGGGGTAAATCATTACAGACTCTAGAGAAATTCAGAAGATCATCAATACCTCCTTCCAAAATCTTTACTCTCACAGGATGGAAAACACAGAAGAAATGGACAGTTTCCCAGATACATATGAAATACAAACTCTGAATAACCCAATAACAAGACACAAAATTGAAAATCTAATAAAAACCTACCAACAAAGAGAATCCTATGTAGCAGAATTCTACAAGAAATTTACAGAATATTTAATGCCAACTTTTCCCAAATTCATCAATGAAATCAAAAGGGAAGCAATTCTCTCAAGCTCATTTTTGAAGGCCAGTATTACTTTGATTCCAAAATCAGAGAAGATTCAAATAAAAAAGAGAACTATAGGCCAATCTCTCTAATGAATATAGATGAAAAAATCCTTAATAAAATACTAGAATACTAGAAAACTAGAATGCAACAAATCATCAAGAAGATTATACATCATGACGAAGTGAGGTTCATTCCAAGAATGCGGGAATGGTTCTACATATGCACATCCATAGATACAATACACCACATCAATAGAACCAACAACAAAAACCACATGATCATATCATTAGATGCAGAAAAAGCTTTTGACAAAGTCCAACACTCATTCATGGTAAAAACCCTAGAGAGAATCTGAATAGATGGTCTATATCTCAACTTGATAAAAGCCATCTTTGAGAAACCAAAAGCCAATATCATAATAAATGGGCAAAAATTGAAAGCCTTCACCTTAAATCATGAACAAGACAAGGATGACCACTGTCTCTACTCTTATTCAATATAGTTCTGGAAATGTTAGCCAGAGCAATTAGACAAGAGAAATAAATAAAATGAAAAACGATTGGAAAGGAAGACATGAAATTATCATTACTTACAGATGACATGATATTCTACATAGAGGATCCCAGAATTTCCATCAAGAGTCCTTCAGATTTAACCATGAAATTCAACAACATAGCAGGATACAAAGTCAACACCCATAAATTAGTAGCATTTTTACACAAACAATGAATACACTGAGAGAGAAATTAGGGAAAACATACCTTTCACAATAACACCCAAAAGAATGAAATACTTAGAAATCAATCTCACAAAGTACACAAAAGATTTATACAGTGAAAAGTACAGTACTCTAAGAAATGTGATTGAAGAGGAGTTGAGAAAATGGAAAGATATTCTATGTTCCTGGCTTGGAAGAATCAACATTCCAAAAATGGCCATACTCCCAAAATTGTTATACAATGCGATCTCAATTAAAATACCATCAGTATACCTCACAGAGCTGGAGACAACTTTCCTCAATTTACCTGGAACCAGAAGAGACCCAAAATATGAAAAAAAAAATCCTGAGAAATGAAGGAAAGGCAAGAGGTATCACAATCCCTGACCTGAAATTATACCATATCCTACAATGATAAAATCAGCATTATACTGGCATAGAAAGAGATCCGAGGATCAATGGAACAGTTTAGAAGATGCACACCCAACTGCAAATACACTCATCTACCTTATTCTTGATCAGGGTTTTTTTTTTTTTTTTTTCTCCTCGAATGTCTTCAGGGCACTTTTGGCTAGCTGGAGTGTTGTGGGGATCCAACTACAGCAATCTGAGGCTGACAGGTTTGTGGAAGCAGCCACTTAAAAAACTGAGCTAGGGCCAGGGCCCCTTTTTTGATGTTGTTGTTGTTGTTGTTTGTTTATTTAGTGTGTGTGGCCAGCTCAGCCCACCAGGGGGCGGGGTTGGCTGGCATGTGGTGCTGGGGGATTGAACCGCGGTCCCTGTGCTTTGCTTAGCTTAGCTTGTTCTAAGTAGGTGCTTTAGACCACTGAGCCATCTCACCAGCCCAAATGGCAGAAGTGTTTTGTTTTTGTTTTTTTTTTTTTCTCCAAATGCCTTCAGGGCATGACTGGCTGGCTTGTGTTGTGGGGATCGAACCACAGCAACCTGAGCCTGACTGCTTTGTTGAAGCAGCCACTTAAAGAACTGAGCTAAGGGGCAGGCCCCCAAATCATGGGTTTTTGTTTGGTTGGTTGGTTGGGTTTTTTTTTTTTTTTTTGGTGGAACCAGGGATTGAACTCAGGCCCTTGTGCTTGACAGGGATGCACTTATTCCACTGAGCCATCTCCCTGGCCTTATCCTTGATAAAGGGACCAAACTTGCTTACTGGAAGAATGATAACCTCTTTCATAAATGATGCTGAAAAAACTGGCTTTCCACATGCCAAATGCTAAAGCTAGACCCCTGCCTATCACCATGCATAAAACTGCAGTCAAAATGGATTAAAGAGTTAAATATTAAAATGGAAACACTAAATCTTCTGGGGGGGAAATGTAGGTAGAAATCTTAAAGACATAGGGGTAGATAGACAGTTCATGAACAAAAGCCAAACTGCATTGAAAATACTTCAAAGAATCAAGAACTGAGATCTCATCTTTTTGAAAAGGTTATGCAAATCAAAGCAAATCTCTAACACAGTAAAAAGAAAACCCACAAACTGGTAAGAAACTATAGTCAACTCTCCCTCTGACTAAAGCCTTTTATCTAGAACATGAAAATATTTTTATTTATTTATTTGGCAGAACTGGGGATTGAACTCAAACCCTTGCACTTGCCAGGGAAGTGCTTATTCCACTGAGCCAGTTCCCAAGCCCCAGTGAAAAGAATTTTAAAAAATCAGGTATCCCTAATTCAAAGTCTCAATCCAAAATGAATATCTGAGATGAATATATATTTCTCAGAAGAAGAAATACAAATGACAAGTTAAATATGTGAAAAAATGTTCAACATCCTTGGTTATTCAAGATACGCAAATTGGAACAATGCTGAAATTTCATCTCACCCCAGAAAGAATGGCTAACATCAAGAAGTCAGCCAATAACAGATGCTGGGGGGGTGGGCTGTGGAGAAAAAGGAACGCTTCTCCACTGTTGGTGGGACTGCAAACTGGTACAACCACTATGGAAATCAGTGTGGAGATTCTTTAAAAATCTAGGATTGGAGATTCCATTTAAGCCAGCTATTTTCCTCCCTGGCAGTTTTCCAGAAAAACTAAAGACCTCATACCATAGTGATATATGTGCACCCATAGCTATAACAGCACAATTTGTTATAGCTAAATCCTGGAAACAACACAGATGCCCATCAACTGAAGAATAGATAAAGAAGATGTGGTATTTTTACACAGTGGAGTATTATTCAGCTATAAAATAGGAGAAATTTGAGTCTGTTTTTTGGTAAAAGGATGCAAGTAGAGAACATACTCTTTAGTCAAATGAGTCAGACTCACATGTGCAAACATTGTATTGTCTCCTTAGTGTGAGAACCTGAAAGAGAAAAATGGAATCTGAAGAGTACAATAGATATTGGGAATAGGGAATGAACTTATTCAAAAGGAAAGAGTTATTGAATTAAGGATAAGAACAGGAAAGGGGGTGGGGGAAGATGAATATTTATGTATGTAAGTAGGATGGCTTGGACAACTGTACTGTGCACTTCTGCTGGTCTATGCAAAGGAGCAGATAATACTTGATTTGTTTTGTCTCCTTTTTTCAATTGTTAGTATTTTTTCTCTTTTAAATTCTTATACACTTCTTTATTTTTTTTTTCTTTCTTCCAATTTTACATGCATATATCTGGTAATATGAATAACTGGTTAGAATACAATACTATGTATTACAACAAATACTGTGAAATTCATATTAGTTTGTTAAGTGAAACTGCACCACTTGTATTTTTTTCTGTTTTAATACTATTTTGTACACTCTTTAAAAAAATAAAAAGTTATGTGCATACAAAAAGGTACACCGCCCAGATATGTATATCATATTCAATTTTTTAAAAACTGACCACACCCAGGTCAAGAATCAGAATTTTTTTTTAAAAAATTGAAATTTATTTATTTACTTATTTATTTGGTATAGGGTCTCACTGAGCAGCTCTTTAGTCAAATGAGTCAGACCCACATGTGCAAACATCATATTGTCTCCTTAGTGTGAGAACTTTAGTATGAGACTCATAGTGATCCTCCTGTTTCAGCCTCCCCAGCACTGGGATTACAGGTGTTTAGCACCACCCTGGGTTTCAGTGGCTGACTCAGTGTGTCTAGGATTCTGGGGCTGGCATGGCATGTGGTACCAGGGATTAAACCTGGGTCCTTATGCTTGCATGCAGGTGCTTAGACCTCTGAGCTATCTTACCATTAACAAACAATATTATCAACACTACAGAACCCAAACTTGTTGCCCTTCTCCAAGTTAAATACTATTCTGACATCTAGCAGCATGAGGCAGTTTGGTGTGCTCTTCTGATGAATTAGTTACAATAGCTGTCTTGTGGGGTTTACTTCTTAAGTTTACTTAAGCTTGTGAATTCACAAGGATACGTATATTTATAGATTATGTCTTCTCCTTATGATGTGGGTGAGTGGGATTTTTATTGTATTAAGTAAAACGATGTCTGTTCCTCACATACAGCAAAGCAAAAGCAGATTGCCAAAATATTGTCATTTAATAAATAGATGCAAGAAAATGGGAAGGGAACTAAGAGTTAAAAGGAACAAGGAAGGGGCCGGGGAGATGGCTCAGTGGAATAAGCGCTTTCCTGGCAAGTGCAAGGGCCTGAGTTCAACCCCTGGTTCCGCAAAAAAAAAAAAAAAAAAAAAAAAAGGAACAAGGAGAGAGGGAAAGGATAGGGAATGAAAATGATAGAAGAAAGAAAAAAGAATTAAGGTGTGTAATGAGCTTGTTCCACTCCCCATCCCATAATTGCAATCATTACGTACTGCAAACACGTATTAATGAAAATATTTTTTTATATATAGAAGTTTAGATGGAAAATGCTACAGTCAATTTAAAAAGATTGTAATCACTTGGTTCTTATAAATGCATATGTATGCAGTTTTTTGTGCGCCATGCTGAAAGTGCCTTAATACTCAGAACAAGTCAGACACAATAGGATGGAAAATTCCATAAGCAAAATTGATTATAAATATTTACATATGCAAAAAATTTTGCATCCACATTTTAAAACAGATTCTTTTAAAAACAAAACAATGAAGATGAGAGAATGGTATGCTGCTGTTTGAATTTTTCCAATTTTGTAATAATTTAAAATTTATAAATATTTAAATGCTGCATTCAAACAGTTTTTCTTCTAACTCAAAAGTTTCTTTAGACAGCCCAACAACTCAGGTAAGAGCCTAGAGGAAAGTAAATTTTTATACTCCCTGAGCAATGAAAATTTCCTTTCACTGAGTTGCTCATTTCTGTAGATTTTTTTTTATCCTTTTACTACAGCACCTACTTTTCCATCCATGAATTTCAAGTTCAACAAACAAACAAACCAAAAACCAGGAGCAAATACTTTCTAGTCTTTTTGTTGCCCAAATACTCCAATAGTTATCCTTCCTTTTTCCCCATGAAGAATGAAGGCACAGAAAATGCATACCACACAGGAATTTTTATTTGAAAGTGAAGGTCCACTGCTTCCTCCATATTCTTCTCTGGTGGAGGCCGATGGTCATGAACCTTTCTTCTGGCTCTGATCCTCAGCTGGGCCTTGGTTAGTAGTTTCTAGAAATATCCTGGGCCAGTTCCTTGTACTCTGTGTCTGGTTCTGCATTGACTTTCCTGGGCTGGATTTCTCTGTAGCCTCCTTTGCCTAATCCTGGAAATTTCAGCATGATATTGCCATTCTGGCTGGATTAGTCTTCCTTTGGTCCCAAGCCTGAAGGCAGCAGATCGCTTGTCAGCTGGGATTTAGTTTCTTTCAGAGAGGGTGCATGGTGTTATTACACCTGGCTCTCTTACACTACAGTAGGACTCTTCAACTCTCATTGGTCCATCCCAATGGCTGCTTCTGGAAAATTCTGAAGTCTAGGTCCCAACCCTTGAAAAATTCTGAATTAGTTGGTGAGGGGAGCAGCTTAAATATCAAAGATTTTAAAGATTTATGTAGCCAAGTGTGAGAAATACCAGTACAAGATTGTTATATTTGCCACCTTGTTTTGCTCTGAAGTCCAAGTTGCTCAAAATATAAGAAAGCTTCCTTCTTTGACAAGAGTATTGCGATGGGCCAGCCAGATAGTTCAGCAGACTAAAGTGTCTGTTTAGGCAGAGTGCAGCAGCTGGGGTTTGATCCCTGGCTTCCTGTGCTGGCCCGGCCCCTGTGGCATGCTGAGACAGTGACTGAGACTGGGCGTGGTAGTGCACGCCTGTAATCCCACTGCTTGGGAGGCTGAAAACAGGAGAATCACTATGAGTCTGATCTACATAGTGAGACCCTGTACTACATAGACCCTGTAGTACATTTAAAAAAGAAAAAGAATATTGTGATGGTGTAGTGGACTTCTAACTGGTGGTCAGCTTATGACATCCACTTGAATTAAACTGGTGTGGTGCTGGGTGTGGGAGGCCCACCTGAGGATTGTTGCCAGCAGCATACAGGCAGAACAGTAGAAACTGCCAAAAGGCTGCTAAGGATTCTGTATGAAGAAGCTGTTGGAAGCTGCTAGCTCTGTTGGCTGTCCTGCTGGAGGACCTTGTCATACTGGCTTTCCCCATGAACTTTGGAGAAGCTTGGGTCCTCATCTTGAATGTGGCTTCCTGGCACAAGAGGGGAAGATGATGCACTGCTCAGCTTCATGAAGCTTGTCGCATTGGTTTCCCTGGTGGGAACTCAGCTTTCCTCGTTTCTGGATGAGCTGGGGACCTCACTGTTACTGAGGATGGCTGTGGCACTTTTGGGGGAGCTCTGGTGCATACCTTGAGCATTGCTTTCTAGCTCCAGTTCAGATCCCTCAGCCTATATTGTTCGTCTAAATTTTCCACTCAACTGAAGTGTACCCTGGATTTCTCACCTGAGTTCTTAATCTGTTACCTGCTTACCTGGCCATCCTCCCCACTGCCTCAGTTCCACATTAGGATCCATCCTCATTCACTTTACCTGGAATCTCCCAGGAGCACCCAGACTGCTATGACTGAAAACTCTGCCCTGATTCCAGGCCTGTGACTTCTCCCTGAGCTCTCAGTCCTCAGCCAGCTGTTTAAAGCTCACTTGAATGATGCTTGTAAGGCTTTCTCTCACTCACTGGGCTTCTTGGTTCTTGTTCCTTCTACTGAAGTTTGTGTACATTATGATGTAACTCTGGTGTGGGGAGAAAAGGGCTGCCTGTAGGACAGAGAACAGAACTTTCTAGGGCTTCTCTAGTTGATTAGTGTGCATCTTCTGCTCTTCTGCCTTTTCAATATAATGCCTTGCGTCAACAGAGTTCTTAACATCAACTCATGAACTCATTTATAAATATTCAGTGAGTATCTTGTATGCTTTTTACTTTTTAAAGTAATTAAAGGTTGACATTGTGAGTTGGTTATTTCTGTATTTTTTTTAATTTTATTTTAGGACAGGGTCTGCAGGGTCTCACTGTGTAGAATGGACTCATAGTGATCCTCCTGTTTACAGCCTCCCAAGTGCTGGGATTACAGGTGCATGCCACCACGCCCAGTCTCAATTGCTGTCTCAGTGCACCCTGGGGGTGGGGCTGGCATGGCAAGCTACTTCTGTATTTTCATCTAAAAGAAATTTATACAAGGATAAATTTCACAGAATCAACTAGATTACCAATTTAAGGATATAATGAAAGAAGTCATCGGTGTCTTTGATACTACTGCCAAAATATATGCCAGGATCTGAGTCGTTTAGGCAGGGTAAGGGTTAATGGGATAGAAAGAGCAATTATCTTTCAAGTAATTCACCTTTTGATTCATGCAACAAAAATTAGTCATTTATGGTGTAGCAGAGAGAGTTGAATGGAATATATTTAAGTATATACATGTACGCATAGTAATAGAATGGTAGGTGACAAAAATATTCACCTTATAGAGAGGAGATAATAAATCACGAGATAGAAGCCTAAACCCTACATAAAGTAGCTTGATTTAAGGAAAAGGACAGTTGAAGGAGTGGTAGTGAGGAGCCAACTGTTGAACTCTGTCTTCAAAAATGTATTTCTTTTTCACTTGAGACAGAGTCTCACTGTGTAGTACAGGCTGGCTTTGCAACCACTATGGAGTGCAGGCTGGCCTCAAACTCACTGCCTCACTCCTGCCTCAGCCTCCCGAGGGTGGGGATTACCGAAGTGCACCGCCCTACCTGGCTGAAAATGTATTTTAAAGGTCATGAGGAAAGTTCCTGGGTGTTGCAGTCGTGGGACACGGAGTGTAAGAGAATGAACCAGTGGAGATACTGCTGGGAAAATTTCAAAGAGCTAAAATATTAGCGTGAGTAGCTTGAAAAAAACGTGTATCTAGTATTTGGCTCCATTGGCCCATGAAAGGGTAGCCACTGACTGGTAGGAAAGCTTCCTCAAGGCGTTCACTAGGTGGCGCTGTTTCTTCTCTGGCAGTAGCCTCCTATGAAGCTGTAGAATATTTAGATTATTGCTGAAGTTCTGTGTTTCCTCTAGGTGAAGGGCGTAAATAGAAATGACCTGGGACCATGTAGCCTTTGATCTTTGTGGATGGTTCAGAGAATGAGGTTCTCAAGTGACATCAAAACACCAGAAGAACTGAGATTATTAAGTATGTGGTTGTCTGCAATATTTTTGTGTAATTAAATTTTTGTCTGTTCTTGCAATACTTTCATTGAAGTCTCTTAAGTTGTTTTCCTACTGCCAGGAAATCCTTATGAAGTTCCTTCATATCTCGCATTTGAAATTAATCTACAAACTCTACCAGAACCAAGATTTATTTCACATTTCACTTTAAAGTCAGGAATATTAAGTTCTAAAAAAAAAAAAAAAAAAAAAAGTCCTCATTGTCTGTCATCTTTAAGGCATACAATAGAAAACAAGAAAAAGATTTTACCAATTATAGCTAATTAAAAATGACATTTGACTCAGTCTTTTGGTAACTGTTGACATATATACAACCCACAAATTAGAATATGTACTGTGGCATGTGGTATTTATGAAATATACAGCTTCTCAAATAAATTAATCAGAAATTATTTTTGCCATTGATTTTGACATCTTTGGAGAAAGATTGGCAGGCATTTTAATAATATGCGCAGTGAACTGACAATTTAAATCTGAAATTCTCCAGAATAATTATACTCTCAATTATCCCTAATAGTGCTGTGGATCACATCTTGTTGTTACTTCTTAATAGAATAAGAAACATTGTCCTTGTTTGCCCTTTATGGGCTCTTTATCACCTTAAAAATTTTAAAGCCTGGGGCACAGTGAGACAGCAATTGGGAATGGGCATGGTGGCATGCCCCTGTAATCCCAGATCTTGGGAGGCTGTAAGCAGGCAGATCACTATGAATCCAATCTAGTAGTGAGACCCTGAACATCCTGTAGACCCTTCCTTAAAATACAAAAAAATTTTTTTTTAAATTATTCAGAGAAAACAAATGTAAAAATATTTGCAATAGAAATTCACATTTTGGCAAGGTGATCATTT